CATTAAACTACTCATTCTATACGAGTTAGAGTTTTCACAGCAAAATGTATAGAGTTTTTATAGCGCGTCGACCGATATAATCACCGATTTGGACACCTAGGACATTCCGCTGGATTACCGGACCTGGGCAGTCCTATTATACCATACCATACGAGTATAATTCACTCGGTTTTAATTGCAATTAGCGTAATCACTTCCCGTTCTTGCATTGTTAGATGAATTATATACAATTATTACACTATCTTATATAATTATTGTTGTTTAATATGATATGAATTGATATAAAGTCCACTTAAAGTGCAATATGTTTAAACGACTTATACCTGTTTAATTAGATTATAAAATAGATGTACAAATTGATTGATCTCAATTGTTTGATAGGTATTACCAGAGCTGCGATCGGTTGTGAGTTTTAACCAAATATAGAGGTTTCTTCACGCATAATAGATTTTACAAAAGTTTTTATATGACACATGAAATACTGTTTAATGTATAAAAATAATTTTAATATTTAAAAATATGGTTATAATTTGTGAACCAAATTAACAATATTTTAAACAAAATTTTGAACAAAATTAACTAAATAGTAAACTAAGTTAACAAAATTAGCTTAATTTTGAACCAAATTAACTAAATAGTTAACAAAATTAATTTAATTGTGAGCCTATTTTCTAAAATTATAACCATACTTTAAAACATTAATATTATTTGTACATTATTTTATCTATCGTATGGTAATACTGTATTCAAACTGGTTTTTTGCCAAAGCAATGTTTTCCAGAATAGCCGTTTATGCGTGACTATACTTTTGTTGCTCACAACGGATCATACCTCTGGGTATTACAGTATCATTTAGAAATACATAACCTTGTCCAATTTTGCACTAATCTTGCACTTATTTTATTGACAATATAAATAGCTACAAAATGTTTATATTTTTTAATTGATCATTTTTCAATAAAATAAGTTATTTTGTTTTTTAATTTGACAAAATGTTTGTATATTTACTACTTTTAGTATTCATTGAATACAGTGTTTGTGTTGATGTGAACACAACATCGGGTGTAGTGAGAGGTCTGACAGTGAATGCATTGAACACAAGTGTCGACCAGTTTTTGAACATTCCTTGAGCTGCGATCGGTTGTGAGTTTTAACCAAATATAGAGGTTTCTTCACGCATAATAGATTTTACAAAAGTTTTTATATGACACATGAAATACTGTTTAATGTATAAAAATAATTTTAATATTTAAAATATGGTTATAATTTGTGAACCAAATTAACAATATTTTGGGTTTGTTGACATGACAAGGTTATGTATTTCTAAATTATACTGTAATACCTATCAAACAATTGTGATTAATCAGTTTTGTAACTCTATTTTATAATCTAATTAAACAGGTACAAGTCATTTAAACATATTGCAGTGTAAGTGGACTTAATATTAGTTCATATTACAGATAATTATTGTATATCTGTATACTATAATAATTATACTGTATAAGATAGTGCAATAATTTTATATAATTCATTTATTGAAAAATCTGACTATTTAGTCATACAAACCCAATATGTTAGTAAAGTATGCTAAACAATACTATGGTTTAAAGTTTTAATATGTATAATAAAAAAATAAGTTTTCTCATTAAATAATTTTTAATACTTTATTTTTATGCATGCAAAAAATTGTTATTAATTTCATTATCAATTAATTATAATAATGTTTCCAAAAGCCATCGCAAGTCGTATGAAATATGTTGTCTATTATATGCGTTAATTTCGTTGGATTTAAGTCTTGAGATTTGGTATCCAATGCTTTTACATTGTACCTTGCTAGTTTGTAAATTTCATACAGTTCATTAGAAATTTCGTGGATAACTTTTGTATTTTGTTGTTTAACTTAAATATTATCACTGTATTTGTTTAGTTTTCTAAATTATTTTATTTTTAATTATTACATAAAATTGTTTTTTAAAACTAATTATAATAATGTTTCCAAAAGCCATCGCAAGTCGTATGAAATATGTTGTCTATTATATGCGTTAATTTCGTTGGATTTAAGTCTTGGGATTTGGTATCCAATGCTTTGTTGTCTATAAATTTTGGCCACTCTTTGGTCGGTTTCCTATCAAAATGTTTAATTAAAGTAAATAAAGTTATAATTTATGATTTTAAAAATGTGTTAGTACTGGATATAAATTTTAATAAAATTCCAGTTATTTAATTTACATATATTTACCCAAATTTAGCAAAATCTGTCCACATTTTCATTACATCAAGACTAAACTTCCTGTCAAAGTCTGTATCTTTTTTATCAGGGTAAATTTGTGGTAAACCAAACACAAAGTCCAGGTCCGCCCCGTGAGTGACACCATCTTGCAAATCTTGTTTATTTGACCTAGTATAAGTAATCTCATAGAAATACACACTACCGGCGCTCGAGTGTAAGGCATAGTTTTTGGCAAATTGATAGGTGGGACTAACCAAACACAAAGTCCAGGTCCGCCCCATGACTAACATCATATTGCGGATCTTGTTTATTTGACCTAGTATAAGTAATCTCGTAGAAATACACACTACCGGCGCCCGAGTGTGTAGCATAGTTTTTGGCAAATTGATAGGTGGGGCACGTCATGATTAGATCTCCATACAAATCATAGAGAGCCCATTTGACCTGCTCAGGGTCAGTTTTATTGACATTATCCAGGTAAAAGTCGGTTATTGCGGTGGCATTTAAGTCGTGAAACAATGAATCAAAACTTTGCGCTAATTTCTTAAATTCAGATTCAGTTATGTTTTGTGGGATATGTTGTAATACACTATACAATAACAAAGAGCCCTCGTGTGCGGCCACACCTGCCATTAGGTCCAGATCTGTGTCCAATCATAATATCGTTAGTGTTGTATTAAAATAATTAATTAATGAAGCTTACCCTTGTTGAATTTTAGTGTTTCAAATGCTGTGTGTGCCGACACCGGGAGGTATTCTGTATCAATTGTGGCCATTGTAGCTGCCATTATGACTTCTTTTAAGTCATTTGCGTCCACTTTTTGCAAACACTCTAACCATTCATTTTCACTACAATTGAAATGTTTGGCTAAATTCTTGGCGTCGCCTAAAACTTCAGATTTAGTTCTGATATCCCTGTCCTTATTGAACATATGGGCACCACTTTCCATAATAGCCCTCTTAAACAGGCCTTTCGATAGCGGAGATAATATTTGCACGGATACGGACCAACTACCGGCGCTCTCACCAAATATAGTGATCTGATCCCTATCCCCACCAAATTTATGGATATTTTCGCTCACCTACAATTAAGTACTATTTTAATAAAAAGTAAAAAAATTAAAATAACATTAAATTTATACCCATTTGAGTGCTAATAACTGGTCATAAAAGCCCTGATTTCCGGGCGCCCTATCATCGCCACCGTATAGGAACCCAAACTGTCCTAATCTATAGTTCATGGACACAACCACCACATCATGAGCTGCCAGTGCACTGCCGTTGTATTGGTATTGAAATGATGATCCAATTACTAGACCTCCGCCATGAATCCAAAACATCACTGGTTTTAGTGGTAAGTCTTTCGATGAGGTATTACTTCTGACATGAGGTGTCCATACGTTTAGTACCAAACAGTCCTCACTTAGTGTTAAATTTCCGATAAAGTCTTTATACAATTCATTAACTGTTTGATAGCACGAGTTTCCAGTTTCGGTCCCATCTATAATCTCCTTAATGTATAAAACAAATAAATTATAAAATTTGTGATTATTTTTTATTTTCTTACTTTTATGGGCTCTTTAAGGGGTACGGGTTTAGCGAACCTAAGGCTCCCGACCGGGGGTTCGGCGTAAGGAATGTTCAAAAACTGGTCGACACTTGTGTTCAATGCATTCACTGTCAGACCTCTCACTACACCCGATGTTGTGTTCACATCAACACAAACACTGTATTCAATGAATACTAATAGTAGTAAATATACAAACATTTTGTCAAATTAAAAGTCAAACTAAACTTATTTTATTGAAAATAAACAATTAAAATATTGTCATTTTGTAGCTATTTATATTGTCAATAAATTTAGTGCAAATCGTTGCAGTGAAAGTACCAAATGTATGTTACAGCTAATCAATTGAAAAACACTTAAGATTAATCTCAAGTTTATCGACTAATTATAAAAAGTTATATATTTCTAAATGATACTGTAAATATTTCACTTGATATAATACGGTATTATTAATATCTATCAAACAATATTGCTCAATCAGTTTATTATATCTATTTTAAAATATAATTCTACGGTATTATTAATACCGTATTAGTGCACTGGTATTAGTCATTTAATGCACTGGATGTGGACTAAATATCATCTGAATATCTTAATTTATTATATTCAATTACCACAATACACGTACAGTACATTGGGTTCAAAACTATGAAATTACATTTAATTTTTTTGATTGATTGTGATTTATGTCAAATATTTTATCGCAATATTGTACTTTATTAATAATTTTCCTTAGTAATGACCCATTTAAATGCAATCACTTCTAATAAAGTGTTGTTTATTGTACCCCTTAATGTGTTCAATTGAAAAATTATTTTTTATTAATTTTGTCTAGGACATAAATTGCACATTTCATAGCACAAATTGTACAAATTAATGCTTATAAATTACAAATAATAATTTTTCCAAAAGCCATCACAAGTGGTGTGAAAGGGATTATCCAATACTTGACTCATATTCCGTGGATTCAAATCACGGACTTTTATCTCATTTTTGACCAATAGTTGCGGCCATTTGTCATCCGGTTTACTAAAAAAAGCCAATTATTTAATTTTATTAAATAGACCTGGTTTAATAATAATATTTTTAAATATCAAATTATACCCAGTTTTAGCAAAATTGGTCCACATTTTCATGATATCTCTACTGAAAACAGACTCTTCATGACTGAATAAATCGGGATTTAAAAAGGGTTGTCCAAAAACAAATGGTATGTCGGCACTGTGACATACCTTTCCCGGTGGACATCCAGTGGCATTAGTCATGAATTGACTTTCAAACGTCAACACATATGAATACACATTTTTGCTAGGTGCATTTGTAGAAAATTGTTTGGCAAACAAATACGTGGGGCATTTCATTGTCAAATCACCAAGGAACACCTCGTAAGCTTGCACAATGGCGCCGGGATCTTTCGGGTCAATATTCTTGAGGTAAAATTGTGTCACATTTTCGGCGTCTAATCCGTGATATATCTGATTGACAGTCGACATCAAAAATTTAAACCCCTCTACAGTCAGGTTGTGTACGTCGGGAAAGATCTGGCTTATCTTACCCGAGTCCTCATCTGATGTCATTCCAGCGATTAAATCTATATCTATTGGAATACGTATATTTAATACTCTATTTCTTATAATAGACTTAATGTTATTATAACCGGAATTAAACTTTTTGGTCTCAAATGCCTTTTTATAAGAAATGGGCAGAAATTCTGTGCCTTCGACCGGAAATGTGAGGAAAGACACTATTTTTATGAATTCCTTTGCGTCAACTCCTCGCAGACATTGTAACCATTGTTCAGTTGTATTGCATTTCAGTTGTTCCGCTAAATGCTGGCCATTGAGTATGGCTTCGGTAGTGTTGATCACATCCCTCTCCTTGTAGTACATATGGGCCCCGCTCTCCATAATAGCCCTCTTGAATAGGCCTTTAGATAGTGGAGAGACTATATGTGCGGACACCGACCAACTGCCGGCGCTCTGACCAAATATAGTGATCTGATCCCTATCCCCACCAAATGCATGGATGTTATCTCTCACCTAATATTCAATCATTAATTAAAACTAAACAATTATAAAATGACTATATTTTTTATACCCATTTAAGTGCTAATAACTGGTCATAAAAGCCCACATTTCCGGGCGCGTCCTCTCGTCCCCCAAACATGAATCCTAAAGATCCTAATCTATAATTTGTGGCCACGAGTACGACATCATTAGTGGCCAAAACACTGCCGTTATAGTAGGGCATAAATATTGTGCCACTGATAAGACTCCCTCCGTATATCCAAAACATGACTGGTTTTAGTGGTGAGCCTTTCGATGAGCTATTTTTTCTCGTATTTTGTGTCCATATGTTTAGTAGCAAACAATCCTCACTATACGTTAACTTCAGTATCTTACCATCAGGGTCTTCTATTTGCATACAGGAGTTCCCGATTTTTGTCGCATCGATTACATCCTAATTAAATAATTATAATTTATAAATTTATTTAATGTTTTGCTTAATAATNTAATGTTTTGCTTAATAATAATACCTTTTTTGGTGTTTTGAGTGGCACTGGTTTAGCAAACCTAAGCGCACCGACCGGTGGTTCGGCATAAGGTATACCCAAAAACTGGTCAACACTTGTGTTCAACACATCTATAGTGAGACCTCTCACTACACCTGATGTCGTGTTCACATCAATACAAACACTGTATTCAATGAATACAAATAGTAATACAAATAAAAACATTATTTTAATAAAACAAAGTCAAATTGATGTCATTTTTATAACTTAATACTTAACATACTGTGTCACTGAAAATATTGTTATTTATTTATATACAATTTTTGCTTATCATACATAATTGTTGAATTGATCAATAGTAAAAATATTGATAAATCATAACACAGTTCTCCTACAATAATTACTTATCAATTGTGTAACCGGCCATCTGACTAAACATGTATTATTCATAGAAAATAATAATATCTGGTTCAATATATCGGATGAGTCCTGACTAATATAGGCATATCTTTCGCTTCTTACAAGCATTTTTGTTTACAACTAAATATTAATATCTTTTTAACTTAAACTCATAGACTTTATACACTAAAGATTTTGATATTTGGTATATTCAAGAATTGATTGATGAAGTGATTCACAACATTCAGTGTCTGTCCCCTCACTCCACCCGAACTCGTATTCACGACAACACTATTACTCTCATCGCAAACACACCGAACAATGCAAACCACTATTACACTCACTATTAATACAACATTTAATTTAATATAATTTAACATTTTTAATTTAAATATTTTCAATAAATAAAACGAAAACTATTTATTTATTTTTATATATATTTATAAGTTATATAAATTATAACATACAGTATACATGAAATAAAACATGTGAAACAAATAAAGCAATTTTAAATATATTTAATTAATTCAATTATTTAAATACTCTAAACACTTCCTAAACATTAAAAATTATATAGATACTTTACAAGTGCTAAACGTTTTAAATTCATATTTTGTAGTGTAATCATGACATTTCTTAAAACTATTATGACAATAATTTTTTAAATTAAAATAAATGTTTATTAAATTAAATAGAATAAATGTGTATACAATCATGTAAAAATACTCAAAATTTATTATTTATGTTTAAAATTTGGTTTAAAATTTTTCATTGATGATTTATAACTCCAATAATATGTACTTATAAAGTACCGCTAGAAAAATAATGGACAATTTGTGTAATTTAATTAAAATAAAACATAAAATTATCCTTGATGTAAATTTCGGTGATAAAGAGAACCAAATATTTATATAAATATTATAAAAACAATGAAAATTACACAAAAACATTTATAATTCAATCTAATCGGAAATTTTTAGTACTTTACTTACTTAATAAAACAAAATAGTTACATAATAATAATGTTTATAAATTTTGTTAATATTTCGTAATGAAATACTGTACAAATAATAAAATATTTATCGGTCCTGGAAAACTTTCCATAATTTACACAGATGTCTGCGAAATTATTTTTCACAATGATTTAGGCTAACCCTGATAGTAAATTATTGCTATATAACATAGTGCGTTAGGTTTATCAGATAAATATTGTTTAATCATACCTTACGTTTCCTATACAACTTGTTGCACAACTTGTTATAATTATTTAGTACTTTTGGTTATTTATATAATAACCTTGTTGTGATGTCTCGATATTATACAGTAGTAACTGATAAGTATTTTTATTGACTTTTTTGATGTAATTATAAGACTTTGACTCCTAAATGATATACCTGTTTATAATCTACTATATAAAGAGCAACTTTTCCATTAACAGATCATTTTCATTAATAATTACTAAGCATTCATTTGACATTTCATTTGACAAAATGTGTTTATTTAGAGGTATATTGCTATTAGTATTCATTGAATACAGTGTTTGTGTTGATGTGAACACAACATCGGGTGTAGTGAGAGGTCTGACAGTGAATGCATTGAACACAAGTGTCGACCAGTTTTTGAACATTCCTTACGCCGAACCCCCGGTCGGGAGCCTTAGGTTTGCTAAACCTGTACCCCTTAAAGAGCCCATAAAAGTAAGAAAATAAATATTAACCAAAAAACTGTTTATTAATTTTATTATATGTTTTAAGGAGATTATAGACGGAACGGAAACCGGGAACTCATGTTTTCAATTATTACCAGACATTGTCAAACAATTTATCGGAAATTTAACGCTAAGTGAGGACTGTTTGGTACTAAACGTATGGACACCTCATGTCAGAAATCATAACTCATCAAAAGACTTACCACTAAAACCAGTAATGTTTTGGATTCATGGCGGGGCCCTCGCTCTCGGGTCATCATTTCAATACCAATACAACGGCAGTGCACTGGCAGCTCATGATGTGGTGGTTGTGTCCATGAACTATAGATTAGGACAGTTTGGGTTCCTATACGGCGGCGATGAGACCGCTCCCGGAAATTTAGGATTTTTTGACCAGTTATTGGCACTCAAATGGGTATTAAATATTTGAAATTTTAAATATAATTAAATTATAAAACTCTATTTAATTACAGGTGAGAGAAAACATTCACAAATTTGGTGGGGATAGGGATCAAATCACTATATTTGGTCAGAGCGCCGGCGGTTGGTCCGTATCGGTCCAGTTATTCTCTCCCTTATCGAAAGGCCTGTTTAAGAGGGCTATTATGGAAAGTGGTGCCCATATGTTCAATAAGGACAGGGATGTTAAGAGTAAAAGTGAAGCCTTCGCTGAGGCTAAACAAATGGCAAAGCATTTCAATTGTAGTGAAAATGAATGGTTAGAGTGTTTGCGGAAAGTGGATGCAGAGCACTTGAATGAAGTCCAATTGGGTATGACTACGGCCACACTCGACACGGAATACCTCCCGGTGTCAGCACTTAAAGCGTTTCAAACACAAAAATTTAACAAGGGTATTTAAATATTATTTGCGATAAAAATATTTATATTAGTTTTATAACAACTTTAAATCACTTGCCAATGGATACAGATCTGGACCTAATGGCAGGTGTGGCCGCACACGAGGGCTCAAGTCTTTTATATAGTATGCTTCAGGAGATACCCCACAACCTCACGGAATCCCAATTCAAACAAATGGTTCAGGGTTTTGATTATATATTTCACGAATTGAATGCAACGGCTATTACGGAATTTTATATGAGCAATATTAACAAAAGTGATCCAGACCAAGTCAAATGGGCCGCGTATGACATGTTCGGTGATTTGATGATCACGTGTCCCACCTATCAATTTGCCAAAAACTATGCCACACACTCGAGCGCCGGTAGTGTGTATTTCTATGAGACTACGTATACTAGGACTAATAGGATAAGTCCAGAGTTTGATGTCACCCACGGGGCTGAACTAGATTTTGTGTTTGGTTTGCCACAAATTTACCCTGATAAGAAAGATACCCAAGTGGACAGGGAGTTTAGTTTGCAAGTTATGAAAATGTGGACTGATTTCGCAAAATACGGGTAAAAATATATTAAATCAATATTTAGATAATAATTATGTTAGAGCTAAACAATCAGAAAACCTTTTAATTCACGAGTATTTTCATTATGTTTATAGCAAACCGACCAAAGAGTGGCCAAAATTTATAGACAACAAAGCATTGGACACCAAATCCCAAGACTTAAATCCAACCAAATTAACCCATTATATCGATAACTTATTTAATACAACATGCGATGGCTTTTGGAAACATTACTATAATTAATATATAAATCACTTAATTCTTATAGAAAATTTCATAAATAAAAATAAAGTATCAAAATATTATTTACCTGTTATATGAAAACTTATTATTTAAGTATTTAACTATACTCATATTAATAAAAATTACGTAATGTGAATATGAACATAAAACTTTACTAAAATAATTTTATAATAATAGAGTATTTTTTATATGATGGACATTGAAAATTAAATTATTTAAGAGGCTTTGAGAAACGGAATACCATGAAAAATATAAAAATTATATTTTTGGATTATTGTTATATAATCTAGTTTAGGAATAAATGACAGTCTTAGTACTTTGGGTTCACCTCTTTATCTCACTTTAATTTTAATGTACAATACGTGATCAAAATAGATTTCAAAAATATATTATTATTTCCTATGAATAATACATGTTTAGTCAGATGGCTGGTTACACAATTGATGTTACCTTATGCCGAACCACCGGTCGGTGCGCTTAGGTTTGCTAAACCAGTGCCACTCAAAACACCAAAAAAGGTTATTATTATTATTATTAAGCAAAACATTAAATAAATTTATAAATTATAATTATTTAATTAGGATGTAATCGATGCGACAAAAATCGGGAACTCCTGTATGCAAATAGAAGACCCTGATGGTAAGATACTGAAGTTAATGTATAGTGAGGATTGTTTGCTACTAAACGGGAACTGGCGAATTGACCTAAAAACCAATTGACCTAACTTAACTTAATGACCAATAGACTTTTGACCATTGTAAGGATAGGTAAGGTTAGGTAAGGTCAAGGGGAACATTTTACACTGGTCATCAGGTATATTTACCTACTGGTCATTAAGTTATTTAAGTTTAGGTCAATTGTTTTTAGGTCAATAGACCCGCACCCGATAATAACACTCAATTTGATGTCAATTTAAATAAACCAAATCTGTTTAATTTAATTAATGCCAATGAGTTTGACACTCATTATGCCGTGGATCGCATGCTTTCACTTGCAGGCCACACCCCCACCCGACTCCCCCCGTATGCCTGTGACCTCCAACCCATTGAACTTATATTCGCCGCCTATAAGCATATTATCTCTAAATATAATTTCAATAATAATGTCAAACAATTTAGTGAACTGTTGTTTAATGCTTTTGATTTGATTCCTAATAATGTTTTTGGTAATTGTTTCCGACATGTGACCAAAAAGAAGGTGATAATTAGATTAAATTGAATTTAACTGAAAATCCTGTTGGTTATGATCATAATTATTAATTTGTAATGATTTAAATTGTCTTATTATGTCGATAATAAATTTTTTAAACGTTTAACTAATGTATTATATAATTAAATTTTACTGTATGTGTTTTTGATTAAATATTTTATCAATAGATGTCTCCATTAGTACTCAGATGTAATTAAATATCACACAAACAAATGTGAAATATTTTATATAAATTATAATTTAGTAGATTAGATTAGGGTTATAAATGAATTTTCTAATAAATAATATTACATTTACAGGAGAAATAAAATAGGAATTTAACTGATAAATGGATAATTGTGGTATAAAAATACTACCATAATTTATAAAACAAAGGTTCAAAATTGTTAATGATATTAAATTTTTTAAAAGCAACATATTATACAATAATATCCAAAAATAATTATTAAACCAAATAAAATAATATATATATAATATAATTGAAAAAGAATTAATGAAAACTTGTTAATAATACATAATCGATTGTAGTATATAATTGATTAATTTATCTGACTTATTAAGATAATAGGATTACTATTACTTTAAGGTGAAATGCATTTATAAAATTATATTATTATATTATAAAATATATTTGTTTAAATTTTAATATAAATGTTTACTTTAAATAATTATATAATTTTACAAAATGTTAAGTAATGTATTTCATAATCCATAATTCGATGCTAATAATGTTATATAATTGAACACCATTTGATGTAAATTGTAAGTATTTTTTAAATAATGTAATTTATTTATAGTATCACAATTTATAATATAAAGATGATGTCAAACTTGAAAACTTATGTTTAAATCAATTATTTTTAGTATTACCATAAAAAGATATGAGGTTTTTAATAGAAAATAAAGAAAAAATTATTATTCTAACTGTAAGGATTAATGAGTTAGACTGGTTTTTATTGTTATATTTCAAAACTAAATTAAATGAAAACTACACGAGATTTTTAATTAGTTTTTTTACTAAATTATATACAGATCTAGGCTTTGTTAATTAAATTCAAAAATAATTTTAAAAACAATTAACTTGTACCAGAAAATGATGTTTTAAAAATAGAAACTTGAATTCAATAGTATTACCATTAAAAACTCAAGAGTATGAAAAGTTATTTTAATAGCTTCAGT